CTTAGCTGTTCTCAGCAATATAAAGATCCAAGACAACTCTGAAGGACTTATGATGAAAAATGCTATCCATCCCCACAGAAAGAACTGGTGGTGTCTGAATACAGGTTGAAGCTTACTTTTTTTTTTTTACTTTATTTTTCTTTTTTTTTTTTTGGTGAGGCAATTGGGGTTAAGTGACTTGCCCAAGGTCACACAGCTAGTACGTGTCAAGTGTTTGGTCTGAGGCCGGATTTGAACTCAGGTCCTCCTGACTTCAGGGCTGCTGCTCTATCCACCGCGCCACCTAGCTGCCCCTACTTTATTTTTCTTGAGGTTTTTTTCCCCCCTTTGGTCTGTTTTCTTTCACAATATGACTATTATGGATATGTTTTACATGACTATACATGTATAACCTATGTGAAACTGTTTGCCTTCTCAATGGGGGAGGGAGGGAGGAAGGGAATTTGGAACTCAAAGTTTTAAAAACATATGTTAAAAATTGTTTTTACGTGTAACTGGAAGAAAATAAAATACTAAATTTAAAAAAAGACATAAGGAAGTTCCAACTAAATGGAAAAAAAAAAAAAGAACAGTAAGGAGCAGAGGCTAGTTAGGAAACAAGGTTTTGCCCACCCTGTGTGAGGCCTTCTGGGGTTACTTGGAAACAAAGGCTGGAGTCCCAAGCATTTCCTGGGCAGTCTGTGCTACTATAGGCACAGAAAAGAATGGGAGATATTTAGGGGTTTGCAGCCCACTTGGTGTTCACAAATGTGACCAGAAAAGCTGATTCAGCTGAATTAAAACAAGTATTAGTTGATGCCTACTGTGTCCCCAGCTTTGTACTGGGAGAACATGGAAGTACTGGGCTTGAAAAATAACGTTTAATCTGTCAGGAGGGGTAAGGGATTCCTTTTCCTTCTTTATAATTTTTGTTGTTCAGTCATTTTTTTCAGTCTTGTCTGACTCTTCATGACCCCATTTGGGGTTTTCTTGGCAGAGATACTGGACTGATTTGCCATTTCCTTCTCCAGCTCATTTGACAGATGAGGAAACTGAGACACACAGGATGAAGTGACTTGTCCAGGGTCACACAGCTAGTAAGTGTCTGAGGCTAGATTTGAACTCACCAACATGAGTCTTCCTGACTCCAGGCCCAGCACTCTAGCTGCCCCTTCTTTCTAATACAAGCTCATAGAGCTAGAGCTGGGAGGATTCTTAGAGGTCCCCTCATTTTACAGGGACTTATACTGGTCTAAGGTCACACATGTAATCATAGATGTAAAGAAGGCGTTCTGGAGGCCCCCAGGCCCACTCCATTATTTTGCAAATAAGGAAATGTGTCTTCAGATGCCTCTTGGCGGTGTGTAGGGTAACCTGCGTAAATTCTGGGAAATCTTACCGAGCTGTCAGGGCTTCAGGTAAGAGCCTGGTGGCACATCTTGCATCCAAGGACTGGCCTAAGACTAAAAGGGCCAGTCACCAGGTGACAAATTTGTCAACAGGTCTCTATACCTCATGGAGCAAGTTCTGATCTGTGCCATTGGGAGTGTTCCCAGCGACCTGAAAGGACAGATCTCTGGAAAAGCTGGTAAGAGCTAGTTCTTATATCATGCTTTGTTTAGAAAATGCTTTCTTCGATTTTCTTTCCATTATCATTTTTATTTTGCAGGGAAGGATAGCTGAGAGGTTGTGATGTGTTCAAGGTCGCACAGCAAAGCAGTAACTCGAGTCCTTGGGCTCTTTCCGCCCCTCTCATGCCATCTCTCCCACTTTCAAGGCCCCAACGGTTTTGCCGGGCTTCTCAGAAATGAGGCAGACACAGCTGGGTTCTCATAAATCTTTTAATGATGTCACCCTACAAAACATTTGCACAATAGGTCCCCTAGTGAAGGCCCCACCTCACTCAGGGAGCTTCAGAAACAGAAATAGCCAAGTCTATAAGTCTAATTACTCCAAAAGAATGACCTGAGAAGCCCCATTCTGAGCGGGGTCCAGAGGTTACGAAATTTGCGAAAACAAAACACTTTTTACAAAAACAAGGACAACAAGTTAGCAACAACAACTTAAGTTCCAAAAGGTGGGTGAAGGAAAGGCTGGAGGGAGTCACTGAAGGCCAGCCCAGCGGGGTCAATGCTGTTCGCTCGTCCTGCAGGCTATGAAATACTGGGCACGCTGCTGCTAAGGCAGTGCCGGCTGTGGCTGTTGGGGGCCCTGTGTGTAGAGCCCTGCCTCTGGGGTGGGCACGGAAGGAGTTGGCAGGTTTCTCCCTGCACCCGTCACCCTGCTTGTTCTCATATTCGGTAAAGGAAAGCAGGGCGCGGGGAGACAGAACAAAACAGGAAGCAAGCATTTTCCAAAGAGCTTGGTCTGTGATGACCCCAGCTGAGCCATGAGCAGCATGCCTGTGTGGGGGACTGTGTCACTGCCAAGAGGAGCCAATAGGGAGTAGGCGTTCCCTTCCTGTCTGGGGCCTTGAGCTTCAGAGCCTGCAGCTGGCAAGGGACTATGCCCCGACCCAGTGCGGCCAGGCTTACTCTCCTGGTTTACCCGACGCCATCCTGCTTTCTGGTTTTGTGGCCCACACCAGCTTTGGTATGGGCCACAAATCCACCTGTGATTTTCTGGAGAGGAAAGTCTCTCTGCCCATTCAGCTCAGCACCCACTCTGAAACTTAGAAGTCTTAGAGCGTGGCTTGGGCACTGAGGAGCTAAGTGCCTTGCTTCAGGTCACACAGAATAAGTGGCAAAGCCTGGGTTTGAACCCAGGTCCTCTGACTCCCTATGTAGCACCCTTCCCACTGTATACTCTACCTCCCAGGGATCATTATTCTGATTTGGTTTTCCCCAGACCAACTTACAGTGTTGGAGCAGAGTGAGAAGTGACTGACCCAGGGTCTCACAGCCATCGTACATCAGAGCTGGGCCTTGTGTACAGGCCAACCTAACGCTATCCACTACGCAACACTATCACCCCTTCACCTCCTTTGAGAAAAAGCAATCTGAAAATCTCCAACTCATAAAAGGAAAACATAAGCCCCTCTTGCGGAATTGAAGGAAGCGGGGGGAAGGGGATGGGGAAAAGAGGCCCTGAGTGAGCAAGCCAGCTCACTTCCAGTGCAGGGCTGACTACGGATCACCCTAATCATGGAGAAGGGTCCCAGTTTCTCAATCCCAGGATTATCAACCATCAGAGGTAAGCAAAACCCTGATTTGGGCTACAATAAACAGACTTCAATTATCTGGTACAAGTGCCCAGTTCCACCAAGGTCCCTGGCCCACCCAGCTGTACAAGGCGTGTGAGGTGGGGAAGGAAGCAGTGGGGTGGGGGTGGGGGTGGGGGAAGAGGTCATTGCTGACCTGCATGAACCTGTCCATGTCTCCCTGTGGAAAGGATCACACAGGGCCCTAGCTCAGCCATGAGCTCCTCACATATCACCAACTCTGGCTAACCACACCTGGCGGTCCTGGCCTTGGTGCTGACTGTTCAGAAGGAAGCAACCTCCCTTTCCACCTATACACACTTCCCCCACGTATTGATAAACAAGGACCATCAAACGGCATGTAGAAACTCGGCCACAAGGGTTAAGGAGTTATGTTGGCACTGTCAGGAAAGCTGGGGGTTGATATGATAAGCAGGGACATGGAGAATCAGCCAAGACCTCAGCTGCCTGTAGGAGCAATGGGTGCTCACCCAGAATGCATTTTTTTCTGCAATAAAAGTGCTCTCTCTGTCTAGAAGGACGTGCTCAGACACACGCAAGCTTTCCCTCCATCATCGCTTTCTCGTTCATTAATACCCACAATGGTAAACTCACTAGAACTATGATAGGCTATAGAGGATGCCCTGAAGGACAGGTTGTCAGGAGAAACTTCTCCCTTTGCTAAGGAAATCATTCTGGGTGAATGGCGAGTCACAGAACGTTCAATCACGACCTTCTTTCCTGAGATACATCGGTGGCCGAGTTTCAAGCCTCATGACCACACACAAGCAACGGAGGTTGCCCCTCCCTGGCAGCCCATGCCAACCATGGTCTCAAGCCTGGGAGCATGTGGACAGTGCAAAACAAGCCAACACTTCCAAGAAACCGTTCAGCACCGAGTTGGCCAATGACGAGGGAGATGGCCCCCCGGGAAACACTACCGGGAAGTGCTCCACCTTGAAAAAGCCCTGGAAGCCTGAGTAGGCATCTTGCAAAATGACCAGGGTGCTTTTCATGCTAGCCAAATCATGGATTAATAAGAGCACATGTTTCTCTAGCACTTTCCCTATATTAATCACATTCTAGCCTCCTAAGTGCTGTGGTAAGCAGGTGCTATTAGGATCCGGTTTTAGAAATAAAGAAACAGATAGAGATGAAATGACTTGCCCAGGTCCCCTATAGCTAATAAGTATCTGAGGCAGGCTTGAAACCCAGCTCTTCAAACTCTCTGCTGGGCCATGGGATGCGTCAGCCTCTCATATCATCAAGGCCTCTGGGGTCACTCTTCCTCAAAATATTCACTTGTTTAAAGCAGAAGCTGTCTACTGGGGGATGCCTAAAGCTCTAAGGTTTCTGGAATCCCAGCATCCCTTGTGCTCTTCAGATTCCATGGCACAACAGTCAAATGACTAGCTTATTTACAGTCAGCATTTACATGGAGGTCTCCACCCTTATGGCAATGGGAGGGGGGGAGGGGCTTCCCAGTATATGATACTATAGACATAGGATGCCAGCTGTAAAGCTGGAAGGGACCTCAGAAGCCAGTGAGGAAATGATAAATGATTTTCCAAAGGAGGAAACAGGCCCAAGAACAGGAAGTGACTTGCCCGGGTCCTACGTAGGACCATAAAATCATAGATTTAGAATAAGGGACCTCAAAGGCATTCTAGTTCAATCCCCTAATTTTACAGAGAATAACTGAGTCCTAGAGAAGTGATTTGCCTACTGTTATACTGCTCCCTAAACCCCCCCCATAAAAAAACCCAACTCTGTCCTCTCATCCTCCCTGTGCCCTCCCAACCCCACCCCCCACCCCCCAACAGAAATTCTGAACTCAGAGTAGGTGGTCCCAGGCTAGCCCAGTGCCTACTTTGGCTGTGATTTTGGGAACTTCCCCACTCCCCCGGGCTCATTGCTGGTACAGAGATGAGGTATGGGCCCATGGTGGGGGCTGTGCTAACAGAAGAGGACAGGCCTGGGGGTCCCTGGCAGTGGAAAGAACACGTTTTCATGGTTTTGCTGCTGTAGCACCTTCCTTCCTCAATGAGCTATCACTAAAGCACCTGCATGAAGAGAAGAGAGATCAGCTGCCACCTCCCCAGGTAAGGCCACCAGGAGCGGGGGGGGAAAGAGCAATGGGCCCAGGGGGCCTGGCTTCAGGCTCGGTGAGCAGTCTGAGCCATGGGGGAGGGCAGGGGGACAAGAAGAAAAAGAAACACAACACACACAATCCCCCTTTCCCGATGCCATCTCCAAGTAGGGAGAGCAAATTCTTCAGTCAATTTTCTTGGTTGGAAGATGGAGTAGATCCAGCAGGTACTTGAACATGGGCCTGGCAGTGGAGGCAAGCAGAATGATCAGCTTGCCATGGGTCATGGTCATGAGGGTCTGGTGGCCTGAGGCCCAGATCCGGTACCAGGGGCCATAGAATGGGTCAGAAATGGCCGGGCAAAGCATGTTGTTCAGATTCACTTCGGTGGCCTGTGGAAACAAAAGAGGAACAATGGGTACTCACCAATGGGGGCCTCCAGCCCAAACACTCACTCAAAGCCAGGGAGCCAGAGAGCTTTACTCAAGCAACTTCTGATTGGACCCCAAAGTTCTCAATTAGATTCCCTACCACTGAAATACTCTGCTCCCCATAGCCTGAAGGCTCTCTCCTGGCTCCTTTTTTTTTTTTTTTTTTTTTAAAGTGAGGCAGTTGGGGTTAAGTGACTTGCCCAGAGTCATACAGCTAGTAAGTATTATGTGTCTGAGACCGGATTTGAACTCAGGTCCTCCTGACTCCAGGGCCAGTGCTCTATCCACTGCGCCACCTAGCTGCCCCTTGGCTCCCAGTTCTGTGATGTGCAGCTGACTTGACATTCACAGCTCATTCTTTCTGCCCTGCTTGGATAGATAAGATAGCTAATCTCCCCAGGGAAAGGAAAAAGAGTCATGAGAGGTTTTACTGATTTCTGCACCATAAGCATTTTCCAATTTACCCCCTCCCCTCTACTCCACTCAACCTACTCTCATAACAAAGAAAAACATTTAAACAAAATTATTTAACAAACAACCACAGTATCTACAACATTCTGCACCCAAAGTCCCCCACCTCTCTATTATTATTAAGAGAAGGACAGTGTGCTTCTCTATGGGTTGTCCAGGACCAAGATGAGTTATTGGAATCAGTTTGATTGTGTATGCCTGATAATGTTGTTTTCATTTACATCAATGTAGTTAAGTGTGTGTACTGTGTTCCTGGTTCTGGTTTCTTTATTCTATTTCCATTCATCCAAATCCTCTAGCGTTTTTCTGAATTCCTCTTGTTCATCAGTTCTTATCACACTACCGTGTTCCAATATGTTTCTAGGCCAGTTTGTCCGGCCATTCCCTAGGGCAAGTTCCCCACCCCTGCCCTAGTGGATTGACACCCACTGTGTTCTTAGTCTTTTGCTATTACTGAAAATGTTGCCATGTGAGAAGTAGTGAGGTGGTGCAGTGGATAGAGCGTTGGACCTGGAGTCGGGAAGACCTGGGTTCAAATCCTACCTCAGATACTTACTGGTTGTGTGATCCTGGGCAAGTCATTTTAACTCAATGTGCCTCAGTTTCCCCGCCTGTAAAATGGGTATAATAACAGCACCTCCCTCCCAGGGCTGTCATGAGGATCAAATGAGAGAACATAAAGTAAAGCACTACACAAACCTCAAAGGCCTATGGGAATGTTAACTTATTATTATATAAAACCTTTCTTTCTGTCTTTGACCTCCTTGGGGCACAGGCCAAATAGCTCACATTTATATAGCCTGTTTGAGTTTGCTTTCCATACGTTATCTTATTTGGGTATATCTCATGACAACCCTGGGGGCTGTGTACCATAGGTCATATTGCCTTTCACAGATGAGGAAACTGAGGCAGAGGTTAAGTGACATGTCCAGGGTCATACAGCTAGTAAGTGTCTAAAGTGGGATTTAAGCCCACCTCTGGATTTTGCCACCATGCCTCAGCTGCCTTTTGTCTTCACCCTGTCCCACCCTTCATCCATTGGTAAATGATTCCTAAAACCTCCATTTTGAGAAAGGACCCAGATGAGTCCATCTTCTATTCTCTGGATGCCATCTGCAGGTTTCCCTCCCATACCTCTTCAGCTCCCTCTTATAGGTCATCTTCCCCCCTTAGAATATAAGCTTCTTGAGGGCAGGGACTATCTTTTTTTTTTTTTTACTTGTATTTGTATCCCTAGTGCTTAGCTCAGTGCCTTACTAAATCCTTACTTGTAAGCACTTACTAAATACTTCTTGGCTTGATCCCTAACTCCAGATCCAGCTAGATCACTGGGCCAAGGACTGTGAACAACCAAGCAACTTAAAGACTTATCATGAATTCAGGGTTCTGAACCCTCCAGAGAGGCCAATGTTCATGAATCATCAGTTGGCTTCTTAGACTTGGGCAAGGCCTTGGGAAAAAAGAGTACAGTGATTTGGGAGGAATCATCAGTTGGGGATAAAGGACATCAGGACTGCCACACTCACCAGGCCCAGGAATTGTAAGATGCTGAAGTGATAGAAGAACATTAGGCCAGTCGCCAGGAGGGCCCACCAAAAATTGGAGAGCGGCTCGGGAGTGTAGACACCTGTATGAGAAAAGAATCTGGTGAGACCAATACGCAGAAGACTTCCTCACTTCCGTGGCGAACAGAACCAACCCTGTGTGTTCCATTTGAGAGCTGCGTTCCCAAGGAGTCACCTGCTGCCTAATGAGGCCCATTTTCTTTCCCTGGTGGGGCACACTCCTCTCCACAGCTAGACCTTAGTGAGTGTTAATAATGAATTCCCGGAAGTGGTCACAAAGGCCGCTAGGGGGCACTACAGTGCAGAGAGCCCTAGGCCTGAAGTCAAGACCTGAGTTTAAGGCAGACACTAGCTGTGTGACCCTGGGCAAGTCACTGCCCCTCTGCCTGCCTCAGTTTCCTCATCTGTAAAACAGGGGTCATAAGAGCACTTAACCTCCCAGGGGTGTTATAAGGATCAAATGAGATATTTACTTAGCACAGTGCCTGGCACATAGCAGGCACTATATATATGTTAGCTAGTATACTTATAACTAGAATTTGCACTATGGATTATTCTCACTGGTTTGGAACCAATGACCATATTTTACATAATTATAACTGAATAGTGTGAATTCAAATACATGCAACCACTTCAGAGGAATTCATTCTCCTCATTGGAACCTGGCTGTACTGAAAACTCCCTCTACTCAACCCTGTTTCCCCACTCCTGAAAAAGAACAAGGCAACCTCACACTTGCAGGCCTGAGTTCTTGCTCCAGCTCTAATACAGCCTGAATTTAAATGCCCTGTTATAGGGATCCTAGGTGGTGTTACTGGAAGGGGGGGCAGGGAGTATCATAGGAATTGGGAAGGGGAGGGGTCTAAGGAACCTGGCTATCACATTCCCCAAGGTTCGAGAGCTGGGAAGGTCCTGGTGGACGTTAAGTCCAACTGTCTGGGGAAAGTGATGGCCCAGGGAGGGGAAGTGACTTGTCCAGGGTCACACACAGGATCCTAGATCTAAAGACAGAAGAAACCCCAGAGGCCACCTAGTCTAACCCCTTTATTTTACTCAGGAGGAAACTGAGTCCCAGGGAAGGGAAGTTACTTGCCCAAGGTAGTAATTAGCAGAACCTAGCTCCTCTGATTTCAAAGATTCCTTTCTTTCTACTAAACCACAATTCCTCATTTTCTCAAGGCCACATTTTCTGGGGAGACCAAACTGGGAAAGTACCCACAGGCCACCAGGCAAACATTGAATTATTCGATGGGTTAGTTGTACTCAGGAACCCAGGAGACAATGGTTAAATATCACCTTAAAAGAGCCTGAAGGGAAGCTAGGTGAAGCAGTGGATTGAGCACTGGCCCTGGAGTCAGGAGGACCTGAGTTCAAATCTGGCCTCAGACGCGTAACACTCAGTAGGTGTGTGACCCTGGGCAAGTCACTTAACCCCATTGGCTAGGCCCCCCCCAAAAAAAGAGCCTGAAAATAAAATGAAAATATATGTAGCATGGGGGGGAAACATAGACACCACTTGGGCTAACAAGACATCCTCTGAGAGGTGGAAGAATCTACATTGGGCAATGCATGATTCTGATTGTTGCTGACAGGGAGAACCTGGTCCTGGGGTGGAAGAGATGGGAACCATCTTTACTCCAATGAGGGAGGATCCAGTTTTCCCACCATCCCTGGCAGGAAGTAGGCAAATCAAAAGACGATTGGACTTGAAGTCAGAGGATCTGAGTTCAAATCCCACTTGATGGAGAGGAGGGTGGAAGAGAGGGTCCATTCCTGCCTAGAGTCGATGGGAGTAGAGAGGAAATTCAGGAATCTGGGCAAAGTGTGACATGCTCTTTAGATTTGGGAAGAAAAAAAAAATGAATAGAAGGGCAATGAAAGACTGGATTCTGAGTAATCCTTAAGTACCAAGGAAAAACTATTTGGCGAAAGCAGATAATATTTTTTTTTCTATTATTAATTAGATAACCATCAACAAGCATTAACAGTGTACAACTGAAATTACAAAAAAGGACTGAAAAAAGGGAGTGACTTTTATGTGCAGGTTGTTTTTCTTTGTAAAATAGTCATTATTTAATGAGATGATTCTGTCAGTCAAGGCCACAGGTAGCCTTCTAGGTTTAAGTGCGACCCTTTTTGACTGAATCCAAACTTCAGAGAACAAATCTGTTCTCTGAAGTTTGGATTCAGTCAAAGGGCCACACTTGAGGACCTAGAGGGCAAGGATTCATTCTGTGAAGTTTGGATCCACAGGGCCGCTCTTGAAGACCTGGAGGGCAAGGATTTGTTCTCTGAAGTTTGGATTCAGTCAGAGGGCTGCACTTGAGGACTTAGAGGGCCACATGCAGCCTTGAGGCTGTAGGTTCCCCACCCCTGGTCTAGAGGACTCTAGAAGGAAGTGGAAACTCCTTCTACCAGCAGAGGGAAGCATTTTATCTATAATTAGAGCTTTAGGGCAGGGATCTTAACCTGAGGGCCAGGAAATTTTTAAAGGAAATACTTTGACAACTGTATTTCTTTTTTTTTTTTTTTTTGGTTGGGCAATGGGGTTAAGTCCAGGGTCACACAGCTAGTAAGTGTTATGGGTCTGAGGCCAGATTTGAACTTAGGTCCTCCTGAATCCAGGGCCAGTACTCAATTTGACATCTGTATTTCAATATAATTGGTCTTCTTTGTATTTTATTTTAAGCATTTAAAAATGTAATTCTGAGAAGGGGTCCTTAGGCATCCCCATACGACTCAAAGGGGTCCACAACACCCAAGAGGGTGAGAAGTCCTGGTTTGATGACCTGTTCTGCGTTCTGCATATCCAGCCAGTAAGTGTCAGAAGTGAGGCATAACCCAGGGTCTTGGTGACCCAGGTGCCATCTCCCTATTCACTTCTTTGCCTGTCCTTGGAGAATCCCAGTGGGGCCAGAAGCTCCATATCTCAAAAAATACCTAACAAAAGATGAGTCTAAGCTTTGGGCCCAAGTGGGGCACCCTGGAAACCAAAGGGGTCAAACTCAAATGGAACTGGGGGGGGTCACAAAAATCATACAAAAGGACTCCTATGGGTCACAAATTGATTTAGCTTTAAAAAGTAATATTATCCTATGTTTTCTCATATTTTTTATTTTATTATTGTATTATTTTATTTCTCAGTTACATATTAAGCTGGTTCAGGCTGCCCTACAGACAATACCAACTCCCTCCCCCCTCTCTAATTTTCTTGGTTACTGCAAAAGGAAAGAACTAGTAGAGTTTATGGCAAAGTTCCCTTCCTCGACCTAGATTCCATGGTATACGTGGCACGGTCAAGAACCAACCTCGGCCAGGGCAGTGCCCTCCTGCGGTGGTTTAATGGACTGGGTCTGAGCAGGCACCCATCCTAAGGTAACTTGAAGGGGATAAGGGGATCATAGTCTCAAAGTCAGAATGAAGTAGGGTTGGGATCCTGAGCTGCAAAAGAAAAGGGGGATTCTGGGAGTATCCAAGAGTGGAACAATCAGTGGGCATCCAGAGACTGCCTGGGGAGGGAGAGGAACAGAGAGGAGGGGGAAGGGACAGGAAAGGAGAGGGCTACCCAGATAGTGACAAGAGTTCCAATATGGACTCCAGGACCAATTTTATTTTAGTGAAGTAGGATCCATTTTTTTTTTTTAACACACCATCACCAGCAGGAAGTAGGCAAGTCAAAGGATGACTAGATCAGAGGAGTTGGGTTCAAATCTCACCTCATATTTATTACCCATGTAACCATGGATGACTCACTTCATCCTTTCCTAGGCCTCAGTTTTCCCCTCTGTAAAATGAGGGTGTTGAGCTAGACAGTCTAGCTCTAGTAGGAGCCTGTGAGAAGCTCCATGTTGATCAGTCTTTTAGTATATCCCTGTAAGTTCCTATACCCATCCTAGCCAGGCAGTTGGTAACACAGTGGAATACAGCCAGCAACACCTGAGTTAAATCCAACCTCAGACACTTAGTAGCCATGTGATGCTATGCAAATCACTTAATCGCCCTCAGTCTCTTCAACTGTAAAATGGGGAATCATAATAGCATCTACCTCCCAGGGTTGTTTGTGCTTTCCACCCATCTAACCTGCTTTGCTAATGAGCTTCTAACACCCTTCAAAAAAGCCCAACCCTGGGATGAGAGAACCTGTGGTCTTTCCATCTACCTCATTCTAAAAATAGCTACCCCTTCCCCTGCTAGTCATTGACAAGATGTCAAGGCAGACCACTGGTCTCTGCAGACCTACTTGGGCCATGGTTTGAGTGCATGATTGCATAATGGGTATTCCCTGCCTAACATTCTGAAAAGGGTGTGTAAGGAAGGATAAGGGAGACTGGGTGGATACCATGACCAGGCCTAAATCCTAAGAGACCAAAGAAAGAGGAAAAGGACCCATATGTACACAAATACATGTGGCAGCTTTTCTGGGGGTGGCGAAGAATTAGAAACTAAGGGGGTTCCCATCCATTTGGGAATGGCTGATCAAATGATGACATATGAAAGTGATGGAATATTATTGCACCCCAAGAAAGGGAGCAGCTAGGTGGCACAGTGGATAGAGCTCCAGTCTTGGAGTAAGGAGGACCTGAGTTCAAATCCGGCCTTAGACGCATGACACTTACTAGCTGTGTGACCCTGGGCAAGTCACTTAACCCTGATCGCCACACCAATAAAAACAAAAAAAAAACAAAAACGAAAACAGAAATGACAAAAGGGATGAATTAAAATGAAATCTAGGAGGACTTGCACAAACTGATACAGAGGGAAATGAGCAGTGACCTAATGACTACAATGTTGGAAAGATAATTCTGAAAGACTTGAGAATCTGATCAAGGCTACCAGGTACAATGCCAGAGGACAAATGAGGAAGCAGGCCATCCACTTCCTGAACAAGAGAAGCCACACTTGTGGCACAGAATGAAATATACATGCCAGACCTAGCCAGTGGGGGGTGAGTGAGAACAAAAACAAAAAAAAAAAAGGAAAATAAATTAATGAAATATTTGAAAAATACTCACTCTCTGGGAGATCTCATCAGCTCCCATGGGTTCAGATATAATCTCTAAGC